GGTATAGGGTCGTCATATCTCCGCAACCACTGGTGGTAGAGAATTAATTTTGGTGCCTATTTGTTCAGAACATTCATGTTTCTATTTGCTCTAATGAAACATTTTGCTAAAAAATGACCAGAAATGCTGTTTCTAGCCTGAGGTCCTGTCTTTTTAAAATTAATTATTTGGAGAAAAGAAAATTTATCATAAAAAATAATTATAAGTGTCATAAAACTGGTGAGTGCAGACCCTCCTGTAATCGCTCCTCCCTAAACCTCTCTATTTGGAATTCCTGGATCCACCACTAGTAATATCATTTTCATAATGATTGAAAAATTAATTTTAGAGCTCCAATTATTTACTAATTACCACCGCCTCAAGCTTCATCATCATCTTCATTAGTACATAATCTATGAAATAAATATTTGGTTTAATTTTTTTTCTTTTTGTTTTTAAAGTACATACAGCCATTTAAACTGATGTTGTGTTCAATGTACATTCAAATACTGTACCAAGCAAGAGTAGGTGGTGCACAAATATTGTATTGTATTAATTATCAAGTCCTTTTTTATGCACATGATATTTAATCACATTCTCAATGTAGTGATTTTTACTTATAGAACATGATGCTCTACATCCTAAGTCTCAATACTTTAACTTGAGAAGACAAGTGGCTTGATGGAGACACCAAAAAAAAGTGACATATTTGAGTGCGGGTTCTATGTTGTAAGGAAAATGGGAGCCCTATAATACAAGTTCTTTATAATTGCGAGCAAAGCGAGCAACCTTGTGCTATAGTAGAGCCAGTGTATGCATAAAGCCCTTATCAACGGTCAAGAGATGGATATGGGAGATGAAGGCGAAGCCCACTTGTGATCTAGTGATCTGGGCATTTTTGAATTGAAAAAATATGCTTAACAGACACCTGATGATTTGGGCCCATTCTCCAATCCCCTTCCCCTCAAATTATGATGAAGCTGATGGTGATATGCCTCAACTACTCTCTAGTGAGCAATATGTAACTACTCTATAACTGTCTATGTATACTTTAGATTTGTTAGAATGTATTTGTATCAAAATGGCTAATAAATACTGACCTTCCTCTGACCTTGACCTTCTTAGTTGTTCTGATTTTCCTGACTTGTCTGTAAAGAGAATAAATCATTGGGCATTATAAGCAAAACAATAGTGTGCAATACTGTATATTCATTTTGAGTATATATATGTGGCAAAGACAAGCCAAACCAGTCACTCGTCGCAAAAATCGATTTTGAGTTATTAATACAGTGTTAGAGAGTAAAATAATAGCTATAAAATGGTAAAAAAATCATTCAAATCGGACATTTCC